TCCATTTTGTCCTTCCAGGAGGAGTTCAGTGTTGTACTTGGCTTTCTAATTCCTGAAAGTGTAAGCAGAGGCAGAATGCTTAAGAATTACCTTCTAAAGCTTTTGTGAATGTGTTCTAACAGTATATTCCTTTGTGTGCATTAAAGGCTGATTCTCTGATTCTTTTGCTTGAAGGGAATGAATTAGGACATGCTTCTTTGGTATTATCAGAACATTGGTGGTTTTTGCTTTATTTTTAATCATGTTGTTCCTAAGCTGTATTTTGCTGAATTTATTACAAATTTTACTTGCAAAATTGGATCAAAATAATAGCATAAATAAAAATGTAAAAAAATAAGACTACTTCAGAACTGGTGATAGAGCAGATCTGAAAGGACTGCTCTAACTTTGTGGTACTGGAAGTTCAGTGCAGGAATGAATAACAAGCTTCTGACATAAAATGGGCATTTTTAGCCAAGCATCGCTTTGTAAAATAGAATCTGAACAGCTGAGCCTGAGCCATAATAATGGAGCAGCTGTTGCAGGGCAAGTGATTGCTAAAACTGAAGTATTGTAAGATTTAATTTTTGTCTTAAATCACCACGTATCCTATAGCTGAAGTTAGTACTGGGATATGTATTGGTAGACACTGGAGCAAACCCAAAATTACTCCCCTTGAAACCTCTGAAGCTGAAAGGGGATTAACTAATTCTCCTCAGAGAAAGTCTATGTTCTTCACTCAGAAGTTAAACTGCTGGTTCCCATAAGTTAGGGCTTCTTGCATAGAGCTAAAATACACATGGGTGTTTGTTATGCTGTGAAATACAACTTGAATACTTGTGTTATACTTCCTTTTAATTTCATTGCAAAAATTTGTCCTTTTCAAGAAATTGTGATTTAGGTATGACACCTTATGTGGAACTTTGGGAAGTACAGGCTATCAAAATGCAAAATTATCTGGAGCAGACTACTGTAAAGGAAAACAGGTCAATACTTTTTTCTAACAATACAGAAGGAAAACAGAATTCAATTCTACAGACAAGTTTAAGTCCATAGTAAAAAGCCTTATTTAAATGAGTGTTGTATTTAGGAACTAGTCTGGCTGCTTTGTTCTTTGTCATTATGTTAAGAATTCACTTTAACAAGTGTGCAAGGCAAACTTAAGTACAAACACTTGAGTTTGGCAATGGTTAGGTCAAAACATTTAAGTCCTTAACTAAATGGAACGGAGCAAAAAAAATTACACAAGTGAAGAGAAAAAAATCTATCTGCTGAACTTAATTTTACAAAATGCAGCTGAATTCCTTCATGTTAATTTTTAATGATACTTCAGAAAGGAGGGTAGCACTTCAGTCAGGGGTCTGACAAGCTAGTCATTTGCAAATAAATCAAAAGACAATCATTACAGCAGCAAGAACCAGTGAATGATGTAGTTTTGTTATTCTCTGATGGGCCTCACACTCAAGTTCTCTATTAAAAATGAATGTATTCAAGAGGCTCTGCATTAAGAACACAAACAATTAAGGGCACTTCAGATGCTTTGCTAAGAGCTGCCGTAGAGCTCAGAGGACTTTCATGAGAGATGCAGGCTTCTGTAGCCTGCTTTACCAAGGAGCCACAGAACATGAGCAATTAGTCATGTTTGTCTATGTTTGAGCAGCTTTCTGCCAAGTTTCCTTTATTTATTCATCCTTAGGACCTCTTTATTTATATGTCTCAAAATGAGCAGTTAGGTAATAGTTATGTTATATTCGAAGGCCTCTAGAAACAGGAGATAAGTACCTTTATTTTAAGACTTTCAAATTCTGAGCCCCAGTCTGGGGGCTTACTCTAATGACACCAGTTACTGATGTCTAGTCTTGGTTAATGAAACTGTCCTTGACTCTTTCAGAAAGGGGTTTTGCTTTCCAGAGTGAATGTGTACACTTACCCTTGAGTATGCGTGCACGCGTGCCTGTATTTCACCTTAAAAAGCAAACATGCATTGTCTATTGAACTGTTGCATTTACATTTAAAGTAACAAATGTTCATTATTTCTCAATTCTTAAGACAACCTCTTGCAACTCTTGATCAGCAAAATTACATCAATTGTGGATTAAAACTTAACTTTGACAAATTGCTAGACAACAAAAAATTTTTTTGACATGTTTGTGAATGACTTTTTTTTTACTTTATATTAGAGTGCAGCAAACAGGAACTGCATGAAATTGCATAGTAGATAAACAGTTCTAAGTACTTAAAACGTGTGTGAAAACTCTTAGACAAATTGCCTTTTAAAGGCAAGCAGACTTTTTTATGGTTAATTGACTAGTCATTTCAATTTTCAGTGTAGGTGTCTCTTAACTGGCGCTTGTAACAACAGCAAGAAATCTCAAAATAAACTTATTTTAGGCATGTACATTTAAGTTTCTTTAGCACTGTAGTTGAATTAAGATTGCTGTTCACATATGGTCTTCAATGATGCCCAGGTTTGTTAAAGACAAACTAAGAAGAATACACTTTTATTTTTTTTTTTTGCTGTTCTGACACTGTTGGGCGTGATAATACTTTAACAGAAGATTGGTGTGGAAAGTGGGAAAGTTGATTATGCCTTAATTTTTAGAAAATAAATTAAATATCTAACTGACCTTCACTGGATGGCAATTATAACCTGATGCACATGATACTGCATTTTTGTCTTACTGTTTGATGTCATGTATAATATGTTATTACAGTGTAGGTCAGATGTTTGGGATTCGGAGCAGAAAAATCCAATAATATGGACAACTTGCATGTTTTACAGACTCTACTAAAAATAGGACTGCATTTTTTTCCCTTATAGCAGCAATAAGAACATTTACCTTAGAATAGGGTAAATGTATAGGCCATTTGTTTGGCCCATACAGGCCAAATAAATTTGCAGTAGACACCAAGTGAGTTTCTTTACTTTATTCCTTCTCTATCCTTTCTTGTCACCTGCTGTGATTCATACTTGTTCCTGGCTGAAAAACAAAATTATTCCCATTGGTCTAGGGCAATTAAGTCTTGGATCCTAAACATCTTAGCTAAACATCAGCCAAACAGATTGCTATGCAACAGACTACCTTTTCTACAGCTGATGTACCCTGCTTTCTGGAGAGATATACTAGGTATGTGGAAAAATGCCCATTAGTACATGTGTTTGGGTTTTTTTTCCCCTTTAACATAGAAATACCAACAGATTTGGTAATAGTTAAGTCTGATGACCAGTAATAGATAAGCTGGTAACTTCCAAGTGTTGACTTTGCTATTATGTGTGTAGTATGAGTACTAAAGGCTAAATATGGAATTATAGATGTTTTGTGGTTGTGGCCCAGACAGAACTCTATGAAATGATAGCTGTTTCAGTTGAGAATAGAGATATGTCCACCTTCTTGCAGGGGGCAAAGATTTCCTGTAAAGCAACTGTCACTTCTTTGCCCTTAGTTAAGGGAAACCTTTTAATCCTAGGAAGAAGCCATCCCAGAACTTCTTTGGAAGCTTCTGCAACACTGTATAGTTTTGGGTGTGTCAAATATCAGGCTTTGGTCAGGTGGAGTGCTTCATGTCAAGAGAGATGAGGTGTTTTACAGGTCTAGATGCCATCATGTATTTTTCCTGTGTCTGTCAGAGGTTTGGAAGGAGGTGTTAAAGTTGCTAATTATGCTTAGATCCCAAATCACCTGTCTACTGAGACATAAAGCTAGAGGGTTGATTTTGTATCCCAATTAGGATGTGACTGATGTATGAAGATCAACATACCACAGCATCTTCTTGAAAAAACTCAGAATTATGGAAAGGTTTGGGAAAAGGCTTGGCAGAGAGTTAACAGTTTTAGTCTGACTTAAGTGAGTTTATCTTTGCTCAGCTTTAATACATGAGATTTCATAGAAGGCCTAATGATTCATAGTAGTGACTGCTTGTTTCTTCTGTCTTGAAACATCAAAAAAAAACCCCAACTAACCAAGAAATGTCTTTATGGATTGATCATACGACAGGGATGGACAGGAGCTTTTCAGTGTCTCTTACATAAGCTGTGTTTTTGTCTAGGTGCTGATTTTGGTTTTGTGCAACTGTGCTACAGTGACTGAAATTGCTGTTTTTAAGGAAAACTGAGGAAATTGTACAGGTAGCTTGAGGGTTAATTATAATAGTGACTCTGAATTATGGGCAGATGTATGGGTCTGAAAGGCTGTAAACACAGATAACACTGAGTAATGAGAGAAAAAGATCCCTTTACCCCACCAGGAATCCAGGGTTTAGGTTGACATAACAAAATGGGACATAGAGAAGTACAAGATATATGAGGTTGTTGAAAAGTGGGACTCAAATTCTTTGTCCTGCTGTAATCTCTGTTGATTTCCCTGAAGGATTGTTCTGTTCTTTTCTGGTTCCTAACCTTGTTCTCCTGCTGTTCATGGTTTCACAAATGTGCTGTTCACAAGATCACATTTTCTGATCTATTTCTTTTTTTCTTGCTTGCATTATTTTAATTCACTTTCAATATGGATTTTAGAAGTCTGCACTTTTTGTCTCCATTCTTACTCACTTCTGTTTTAGTATTTCTTTTGTATTCCCAATGGTGCATTTCTGTCGTTTTACCTTCTAATAGGCAGATAAAATTGATCAGGAAAGAAGCATTTTTCTTCTACTCCTGCTGCCTTCATATTATGCTGATTGATAATTTGAGTAATAATAAATCTACCTTTTAAAAGGCTTTATCTTGGAGTTAATGGATTTCAAAAATGCTCTGCTTAATAATGAAGTATATACAAGGACCAGATTTGTGCCTAAATGTGTGTACAGATTAGGTGCTTTAGACATGGCAGATGTCCTAGAGTAGCTAACAAAATCTCTTTCCATGTCTGGACTTGTATGTTAAGTATTTATATTTGCAGTAGTGTGAAAAATACGTAATATTTTGTTACTTTCTTCACTGTCTGAACTTAATATAGTCCTGTATAATAGTTAATATGTCAAACCCCTAAAATGCAGTTTTTAATCAAAATACTTTTGCTCTGTAGACAGAAATTGCGAAGAGATTGAATACAATTTGTGCACAAGTCATCCCATTTTTGTCTCAGGAAGTAAGTAAAACTGTTCAGCTGTTAAAGTGCGATTATGTTGTTTTTCTGTTTGCAAATTAGCTAGTTTTAAGATGTTAATTTTATCACAATACACAAGTGTAAGGAACATCTGTTATAGCTGAAGTGTGCAAACCCCCTGCTAATTTGATCTAACAAATCTGAGTTCAAACTAGTGACAATGGCTCAGCCTCATTCAGTGCCTGAGGAGAGTGGGAGTCTGTAAAATAGTAGCAATACAAGAAAAAAGCTTTTGTTTCTAATCATGGTGATTGTTTATTAGATATTCAGTTGTCAAGTGTAGATCTAGTGAAATAAGCATGCTTATGTTCTCTACATAATTTATGTCAAAGGTGAGTGTTTAGCTCCTATGCAAAACATTATTTAAGTTTTTAGACCTACATTTAGTCTGAATGACTGTGATTTTAGCATGCTGTGGGCAGCTTTTCCTTGTTTAAAAGTTCAGTTGGTTTTGCTATGTAGGCACAGAGTCCATAAATGTTAAAATTGAAACTAATGTAAAGTTGACATTGTCCTGTTGGCTCAATTAAAAATGATTATTCATCTGCCAGACAACAAATAATGAAGGGACTTAGGGAAAGAGATAAGCTGGCTGCCTTCAGGTCTCTTCTTTCCTTTTGAGCAGGTGAAAAATAGGGTATTGTTACCTTTTACCTGTGTGAGATGTCTTGCAGTGGGTATTGTGGGCTTCTGCAGACAAACTGGTTATTCAAGTATTTGTGATCCTGGTTTGATATGGTGTGGTAATACCTTAACACAAATTCCTCCTTATACCCCTTCTTCTTTCAACAGCATCAGCAACAAGTGGCCCAAGCTGTAGAACGTGCCAAACAAGTGACCATGGCTGAATTGAATGCCATCATCGGGGTACGTGGCCTTCCAGGTCTACCTCCTACAGTGTGTATAACTTGCTTTCATATCTTACTGCTTTGCTATTTTTTTTAAAACAAACTTAATGTTTTGATTTCTGACATTGTTTTGATGCCCAGTGTTGCTGAAGTGTTTTTGCTTCACACAGATTTTAGCAGAGATAAAGGTAGTAATTTACTTTGTTGTCAGAACATAATTTTGGCCAGCGGTGCTGCATGTAACAAAACTTTTCCTGCAAGAAATAGAGTTTTAGGAGAGTTGCTTGTTTATTTATGGGTATTGTATGTCGGTTGAGCTAGATACTTTTTCCTCATGCTTTTTGTGACACTTGAGTTCTTGGAGCTTATACAACTATTCATTCTTCTTTCTTTGCCTTTCTTGTGAATCTTTCATGAATTTTAAATTAGCAAGCTACTGAATAGAAACTTCACTTCCTTTTGAAGTAGTATTAATTGTCTGACACAGTGTTCTAATAGCCTTTCACCAAGAATGTGCTTTTAAATATGCTAAAAAAGTTAATACTACTTGCTTGTGACTGGTTGTCAATCACAAGTCATTTGCTTTGTATTAATGAACTTTTTGAACCATACATTCCTTCCACTGTATGAGTTCATTTCCCCTGCCACTAAGTCTGGAATATTTCTCATGTTTTCTGCCCTTCCGACCAAGTGAAAGAAGTAGCCGAAACAAGAACCTGTCCTTTCTGATTTTATTCATATGTGAGCGCCTTGAGCGGATTCAAATTACTCATTTATCAATTTATGTTAATTGCTTGTGAGAAGATGCCCTGCTGGTCTTTATAGTTCCCTCAGACACTTTGTAATGATAATTAGACATGCTGCTGTACGGATTAACAGTGCCATAGTCCAATGACGTCTACAGACAATGGAACCAGTTAATCCATCTGTGCTTAAAATTACATCCCAACTGGAGATGGAAAAAAAAAAATAGGAGAGAGGGAGGATTAAAAGAATGAGCCTCAGCTTGAAAATGCTCCTTTCATCAGTTTCTCAATTGCAGATCTGCAGTCGGTTTGCCTGTGGTAAGCTATTGGCAGTCAATTAGGTGAAATAAACTGGGAGGGTGACCTTCATTTCCTTTTAATAGCTTTTCCTCCCTGAAATGGGGAGCTTCAGTGGATTTTCAGCTTAAATTTTATTCAAGCTGCTTTATTACACTTGACAGATTAGCTTTGCATAAACATACCCCCCCTTCAAATCTGTGCTGTTTTTCCTTCGTATCAAATTTTGACTGTTACTTAGTTGATTTGCTAATCACATCTTAGAAACCCACACAATTACATCTGTATTTGTCAGAATCTCCTCTATGCTTTGCTTGTGTAATGAATTAGTTTATGAATACCTGATTTCATCTTTGAATACGCCATATGTAAATTTGTGGTATTCGACTAGCAAAGATTAGAGAACTGTACTTTCTTACATTTTTTAAAACAAATCGCTTCTTAAGGATGAAAATGGAATGGAAAACTCTTCGTTATGAAATAGTTTTAAAGAAGAGTTTATGCAGTAAAAGGAAACATATTAAAACATACTTTTCAAGATTCTTTCTTGCCTTAAAATAGTGCTACTTAGACAAACCAAATTTTGCTATCTCAGGCATGTCAACTGCTTTTTTTAATATCTGCACCAAAGTCTTAAAAGCCATAGGATCTACAAGTACCACATGCAGTTAAGAACTTTAGGGGTTTTGGGGAGCAGGGAGGGAAGCTCTTTGGAAGCAGGAATAGTAGGCTCTAACATTTTGGTTTTATAATCATCTAAGATTTACCTGAAGAAATACTGTTCCTGTGTCTTCTGAAAGACTCCTGAATGATGCCATACAAATCCAAAACTGCGAGTGAGGAAATTAACATGCTGGGCACAAAACTTGTTTGACCACGTAGGTGCACGCATTTCCATAATGCCAAAATTAGATGCATGTCCCAGTGATCTTTTACAGTCTTATTAATCAATAGTTACCTTGTGCTCCACAATAAGTTTCATGCTCTGACATATGCTTGGTTTTGTTTGAAAGGGACGGTGTATGTCCTGGAAAATCTGAATAGCATAAAATCAGGTTGACAATTCAGTGGACCTTTGCTCCCCCATCACTGAGCACTGAGGGTGTCAAGCCCTTTCCCCAGAGGGGAGGACACATCAGAGGCCTGTCTGTTCCTACAAGCGGCAGCTGCACCGAGGGTGAGCACGGCACAGTTTGATAGCAGCTGTCAGTATTGTTCAGGGGCCCGACTTGGTGTAAAGAACAATGGAAGGGCCATGCTGCTGAAGTGCAGTGTCTTTCAAGATAAGAAAAGATATAGTAATTTAACGGTTTAGACACCTATTATAGGCATGAAAGATCATCAAACTTCTTTTCAGGGTGCAAATAGGCTGGACCAATCTGTAACAGTAGAAGATGCAATTGGTGTCACACTACCTAAAATACATGCATATGATAATTCTTGAGGATAGGAGGGAAGTTTATTTTGCTAGCTGGTACTAACTTGCCTGGTTTCTCTTTACTAAATAAAATTCTGCATTTCTGCTAGGATTTGCCTTTTTTCCCCCTCTTCCTTTATGTCCTTAAGGGCCACTGTTTCCTGACACCAGATGATTCAAGAGTTTCCCAGTTGGCTTCCTTCAGTTAGAGAAGTTCATGTTATTCCTGTGCAATGTATGAAATCTGGAAGGAAACAAAGGCTTTTAAATTACTGGAAAAGTGTTTTGAAATATAAAATTATTTTGAACTATATTTATTTTATACTTTTTATTTCCAGTCGAAAGGAGGGAAGCCTATTAGAGGACAGACTATGAGGATAGAAACTTACAGTCTCACAGGACCAGGATTTTTCAGAGAATTTGACTACAAAATCAAAAGCTAGACTTTGGAATAGGTGTATATTAAGCACGTATGAAACAGAATGAATAAATTGACACATTTTTTAAAGAAAGTAATATAGTTGGACTCAGTGAGCTTGCAAGCAGTGCTAATCCTCTGTGTTGATTAAAAGTTCTTACTTCAGGAAAAAAACCCCGGATGATGTTTGGTTATTAACAGTCATACTCCTGGCCTTACACTTATCCTACATGTTCTTGAAGGCTTTTGCTGTCAGCCATGGGTTAGCAGTGTGGCTAAACAATCTCCTTTCAATTTTTTTTAAAGATAGCACCATTTAATATTTATTATATTAGAGTAGAATGAAGTAGCAATTTTGCTAGATAAATAATGAACAAAGCAGAAACCCTAACTAAAAGGATAAGTGCCCCCATTAACTCCTTGGCCTTGCTGCAGCTGCCAGTGGCGTCCACTTCTGTAGTTAAGGAAGACTGTAGATCATGGTATGAAAGAATTAGGTAGACTATTATGGTGTAACTTGAAGGCTTGTTTTGGCTTTTTTGTGGATGGTTTGGGTTTTCTTGTGTTTTGTTTCGGTGTCTGCTTGGTTTTTGTGGGGTTGTTTTCGTGACATATGTCTAGAAAATAACAGGTTCATGTTAGGGAGTATAAGTGATTTAATAAGTTAAATTGGTGTGTCTAGGTGTGAACAATTGAAGATTAGATTTACTTTCCAATCAATAAACTAGTTTTATGAGTCAAATATGAAAATATCTGAATGAGAAATACAAGCAGCAAACAGGAAACGTTCTTCAGCACAGTATTTTTGGTGCACGATTTCAGCATACCACTGAGAAGCCAGGTATGTCTTATTTTTCCTGTTGAGGTGTGTTGCTACTGATTTAGTGAAATATAGTATCATTTGGACTGACAGTTCTCCTGAGACAGATTGAGTTGTTGGCCTCCGAGAGGCCTCTCCACTGTTGCATGAGGTGATTGGCTAAAGGATTAGCAAGATGTGGGATTATTTTTTCTCTCCTGGCTGTGGTTGCCAGCTATCTCTGGGATTGTAGTGTGTGAAGCTTAAGAGGATGAGGTTAACCTCTTGAGGGTTTATTCTTATGAGTGTGTAGTTAATCCTTAGAAAGCCTATAAATAACTAGGCTGTATGTTTCATTATAAAATAGAAATACAGACTGGAGCAGAAATGAATGCAGAATTTAGTGCAAGGGAAGAGCTAAGCAGCTGTAGCATTACTTTAGATCCTTCTCAGGCATGATCTGCATTATGTGCTGAGGGAGGGGAAATTGCCTAGTTCTTTTAAATTAAATAAAATGAGATCTAGTGAGCACAAGACACTCTCCTCACTTTTAACATAAACTGCATAAATGCAAGTCTAAATTACTGAACTCTGGCAATAGGAGCTCTATTGTGTAGCAATATCCTGGGTTATTCTTCATATTTGAGAATACACAGAAACCCTAATTTAATCCTAGAATTCATGGTACTTTTAGTAACTACCCAACTTAGTTTACCAGTTTAAAGCAGAAAGCACAGGAGGAAGGTACCTGTCAGCATGGTGCTGAGTTCTCAAAATACCAGTCCCCAAACAATGGTCAGATTTTTACTGTTGGTGCCACTAAGCTTGGAGGAAAAATATGGAAGTGGTTCTGGTAAGTATTGGTAGCTTTACCTACTCAAAAGAAAAAATCTGGTAGAAGGTGTGTAAAATATGAAAGAATGGTATTAATCAAACTTGGTTTCCTCTTGATGCCTTACCCCCACACACCCACTCTCTGTGGACTGATGGGAAATGAAGAATCTTGGAGCAGCAATATAGAGGAAGGTAGTATCTAAACAAGACAATTTTCTGCAGAAGAAGGTATTCTCAGTCATTCTGGAGAGAGCAAAATTGCATCCAAAAGTCAAATAGAATTGAGTTGCAGGCCAGACCTCCCTTGTCTTGTAAGGCTTCATGTGGGTTGGATGGAAAAAGCTTCACCTTGGTTCTTGCCCAAAAAGAAAAACAAAAGAATTTCAGGTGGCTCTCATAAGATCTAGTATCTAAACTGCAAGTCAAAGGTGAGACCAGGTATGCAGTTGCAAATTTGTGGAGCCTAAAAGCTTTCAGGAAAAGAGTGAAAGTGTGACAGTTTAACAAAAATAACTAGTGCTAAAACCTGAAGGTATGC